ACATCTAAAAACAAATATAACAAATAAGTCTTCTCAAAATTTGTTAGCTAATAACCTAAGTACCCAGATGAGTTTTAGGTGAGATCTTATCTTGTATTTCTAGGTCTTTAAACCGTAATTTTCTCTATTGTTCCTTAAACTCTCAAAGTCGATATTTTGTGACCGATTTTCCATCTTTTGCGATTTTGTTAGAGTTTCTAAGGGCTTTAAATTTAGTTCTTGTATCTTCCTCCTTTAATAAATTCAAATATTTTTCCCGCAAAGTTATCCTACGAGTGTTAGTCTCTGTGTGGAGTTTCTCAAAATTTTTTGCTAAGCAATGTTGGGCGCCACTTTTGAAATGTTGACATCTAAAATCAAAGATAACAGATAAGTCATCTCTAAATTTTTCGCTGATAAACTAAGTACCCAGATGGGGTTTTGACGAGATTTTATCTTGTATCACTCGGCCTTTAAACCGTAATTTTCTCTACCATTGCCAAACACGCAAAGTCGACATTTTGTGACGGATTTTTGATTTTGAGATTGATTTTTCGATTTTATTAGAGTCTATAAGAGCTTAAAATTCCATTTTAGTCTCCCCCTCCCTTAATATGAGCAAATATTTTTCCCCAATTTTATCCTACGAGTGTTAGTCTTTGGCTAATATTCCTCTAAATTATTTATTAAGCAATGTTGGGCGCCACTTTTAATAATTTGACATCTAAGAACAAAGATAACCAATAAGCCTTCTCTAAATTGTTAGCTGACAACTATAAGTGCCCAAAAAGGTTTTAGACGAGGTCTTATCTTTTATCTCTAGGTCCTTAAACCGTAATTAACTTTACTGTTGTTCAAACTCGCAAATTCGTAAATTTCTCTGCTGTTGCTAAGACTCGCAAATTCCACATTTTGTGACCGATTTCCCATTTTTTGTGATTTTGTTAGAGTCTCTAAGGCCTCAAAATTTTGTAATAGTCTCCTTCTCCATTAATAAATTTAAATATTTTTGCCGCACAGTTCTTCTACGAGTGTTAGTCTCAGTGTGGAGTTTCTCTAAATTTTTTGCTAAGCAATGTTGGGCGCCACTTTTGATAAGTTGACATCTAAAAACAAAGAGAACGGATAAGTTTTCTCTAAATTTGTTAGCTAGCTTAAAGCGTAATTACCTCTACTGTTGCTCAAACATCGCAAATTCGACATTTTGTGACCGATTTTCGATTTTGAGATCGATTTGGCGATTTTATTAGAGTACCTAAAAGCAGAAAATTCCGTTCTAATCCCCCTCCCTTAATATGAGTAAATATTTTTGCCGTAAAGTTATCCAGAGAGTGTTCATACCTGACTGTATTTCTCTGAATTATTTATTAAGCAACGTTGGGCGCCACTTGTGATAAGTTGACATCCAAAAACAAAAAGAACAGATAAGTCTTCCCAAAATTTATTAGCAGACAACCTAAGTACCCAGATGGGTTTTATACGAGATCTTATCTTGTATCTATAGGTCCCTAAAGCGTAATTTTCTCTATCGTTCCTTAAACTCTTATAGCCGATATTTAATGATCGATTTTTGATTTTGAAATCGCTTTTGCGGTTTTGTTAGAGCCTCTATGGATATAAAATTCAGTTCTAGTCTCCTCCTCCTTTAATAAGATCAATTTTTTTTTGGCCGCAAAGTTATAGTAGTAGTGCTAGTGTCTGACTGAGATTTCTCTAAATAATTTGCTATGCATTGTTGGGCGCCACTTTTGATAAGCTGGCATTTAAAAATAAATATATCAGATTAGTCTTCCCTAAATGTATTAGCTGACAGCCTGAGTACCCCGATGGGTTTTATACGAGATCCTATCTTGTATTTCTTGGTCTTTAGACCGTAATTTTCTTTAGTATTGCTCAAACTCGCAAATTCGACATTTTGTTACCGATTTCGATTTTAAGATCGAATTTGCGATTTTTTAGAGTCTTTAAGGACTTAAAATTTCGATGTAGTCTCCTCCTCTTTTAATTATATCAAATATTTTTTTGTCGCAAAGTTATCCTCTGAGTGTTAGTCTCTAACTGATATTTCTCTCAATTATTTATTAAGCAATGTTGGGCGCCACTTTTGACACTTCTGACAACCTAAGTACCCCGATGGGTTTTAGACGAGATCTTATCTTGTATCTCTAGGTCCTTAAACCGTAATTTTCTCGAATGTTGCTTAAACTCACAAATACGACATTTTGTGACCGATTTTCCCTTTTGAGATTGAATTCGCGATTTTGTTAGAGTCTCTAAGGACTTACAATTCCGTTCTAGTCTCCTCCCCCTTTAATAAGATCAAACGTTGTTTGTCGCAATTTTATCCTACGAGTGATAGTCATAGGCTGATATTCCTCTAAACTATTTATTAAGCAATGTTGGGCGCCAATATTAAAAAGTTGACATCTAAGAACAACAAGAACGATTAAGTCTTCTCTAAATTTATTAGATGACAACCTTAGTACCCCGATATCTTATCTTGTATCTCTAGGTAACCGTAATTTTCTCAACCATTGCGCAAACACGCAAATTCGACATTTTGTGACCGATTAGAGATCGATTTTGCGATTTTATTAGAGTCTCCAAGGGCTTAAAATTCCATTCTAGTCTCCTCCATCCTCCTTAAATAGTATCAATTATTTTGCCGTAAAGTTATCCTACAAGTGTTCTTCGACTGATACTTCTCTGAATTATTTATAAAGCAACGTTGGGCGCCACTTTTGGAATGTTGGCATCTGAAAACCAAGAGACCAGATAAGTCTTTTATAAATTTATTAACTGACAACCTAAGTACCCCACCATTCTATGGAGGGTATATTAGCTTTGTCATTCCGTGTGTAACTACTCGAAATATTCATAATAGACCCTACAAAATATATTTGATTTGAGATAGAAGGCTAAAATTTTGCATACGTGCATAGTTTACCAGTAGGCGGGTTAAGTTCTCAAATGGGCCATGTCGGTTCACGTTTTCGTATAGCAATAACGCTACCTCCCTATATTCGGTATTTTGATGATTTTTAGCTAAATTTTACAATGAAATTGTCTAAAAGTTCTTTCTAAGCACTCTACCCCCTGGAAGAGAAATGTCTATATAGGTCCACGATATCGTATGATTTTAGAGATATTATTAACCGGAGTTTTTTCAAATTTCGTATTTAGAATTCGTAATGGATACTGCAGCCTATGACAGAAAATCGTCTATGCTGGTCCAAGTCTTAGTGTAGGCGCCATATAACGGTACCTTCCAATATCCGGTGTTTTAATGATTTTACCGACATTGTTCACCAGAATTGTTTTAAAATTCGTATTTGAAGTTCGTAATGGGTACTACAGCCTATGACAAAAAATTACGTATGCAGGTCCACGTCTTTGTAAAGCCTCCATATAACGGTACTTCCCAATATTCGGTATTTTGATGATTTTAGCGACATTATTAACCTGAATTGTTTCAAAATTGGTGTTTGAAGTTCGTAATGAATACTACTGCCTAAGACAAAAAATTGCATATGCATGTCCGGGCCTTCGTATAGGACCTATATATCAGTACCTTCCTATATTCGGCATTTTGACGATTTTACCGACATTGTTCACCGGAATTGTTGTAAATTTCGTATTTAGAGTTCGTAATGGAAACTACAGTTTATGACAGAAAATTGTCTATACAGGTCAAGGTCTTCGTATAGGCCCCATATACCAGGTCTTCGTATAGGCCTCATATGCCAGTAACTCCATATCTTCGGTTTTTTGACGATTTTAGGTACAATATTCACCGAAATTGTTTGAAATTTCGTATTTGAAGTTCCTAATAGATACTACAGCCTGTGATAGAAAATTGTGTATGCAGGTCCAGGTCTTCGTATAGCACCGATATAACGGTACTTCCTTATATTCGGTATTTTGATGATTTTAGGTACAATATTCACCGAAATTGTTTGAAATTTCGTATTTGAAGTTCGTAATGAATACTACAGCCTATGACAGAAAATTGTCTATGCAGGTCCAGGTCTTCGTATAGGCCCCATATATCAGTACCTCCCTATATTCGTTATTTTGATGATTTTAGCTACATTATTTACCGGATTTTTTTCAAGTTTCGTATTTGAATATTGTAAGGGCTTATGACAGAAGTTGCCTATGTGGATCCAGGTATTCGTATAGACCCCAAGATAACGGCTATATTCGGTATTTTTTAGATTGTAACAGAGCTTTTTACGGATTTTATTGTAATTTTTTTTTTTTTTTGAAAATTTCCAATTTTTTTCCATATGATGGTGGGTAGTTAAAGTTCGGCCCGGGGGAACTTACTGCTTTTATTTCCTTTCCAAATAAAGTGGATATAATCGAATTGTTTCAATTAAAATTAATTTATTTGGTATACAATATGTTCAGTTTTATGTTTTATTTATTTTACAAATTCTTTATTTTTTTCTTTTAAATTTATTTAAATTTAAAATTTAAATATTTAAAATATATTTAACTAACTAGCAAATACAAATAGTAATAATTTGTTTTTTGTTTTTTCACATAACCTTAAAATGTTCTTAATAATGTCTAATTATTTATAAATAGTTTGGGGAGAAGAAAAACAAATTCTTCGTGGATGTTTTTAGTTTTAGTTGTTTTTTTTTTGAGAAAAATAAAAACATTTTACACTTAAAACTAAATATTTAAGATTTTTCTTTTTTCTTTTTTTAAAATTTTGGTTTTAAAAAATAAATTCACATTGAAATTAAAATACAATTAGAAAAAAAAAAAAAAAATAATAACTATACGACTTATGGTCGTATGAGGTCAGATTTATTTTTTGTAAATCATGACTTGAAAATAAGTTTTGGAAAGTAACCGCCAAGTAATTAATAAAAATAATTACTTGTTTTTTGTTTGTTTTTTTGGGGCAAAAATTTAACTAAAAATCATTTGGAGAATATCTTTTTTACGCTTTCCTTAAATTCTTCTTAGATTTAAAAACTTAGCTAATTAGAAACTACTTGTTGTTGTTTTTGTTTTTTTAGCATAGATATACACAAAAGTTTTGACACAATTTTTGCCGGCCCGGTCACTCTGCCTTCGAGTCACTCTGATGGCCAGGCGACGAGGTTGTGGAATTTGGATTGTCGGAAGTGATTGTTAATGGCGATGTGGTTGTGGTCGTGTTGCATGTCTTTGCGGTGTCCGTCACCGTTGTCGTCTTGTGAATATTCTCCATTTCAATGTCGGAACAATTGTCGGAATTCGATAGAGCCGAGTCCATAGATGTGACAGTCATATTCACCTGTTTATCGCTGCTGTCTTGCGGCAGCAATGGTTTCTCTGCGGCACTGTTTTCCACATCGAGGGGATTGTCTTTTAATTGATTCGATATCACAAAACTATTGCTGTTGATGTCTTCGATGGCCTTGCGGAGCTGTTAAAGGGAAAAAAGAGAAAAATATATTTTTTTAGAAAAAGAATTAAATCAGAATCCTAAGAAAATGTGTAAAATATGATAAAGATTACGATTTCCGACCCTTAGCGAAAATTTATTTAAATTTACGATCTCCAATACTATAGCATGCTCTAGGCTGATTTAAGAGACAATTCAAGGAAGGAGAACGTAGTCAAATGTTAAAATTCTCAGTCGCAACAAAGAGTTCCAAGCAGGCAACATTGGAAATCGCCTGCCACAATTTAATCCCAAACTGCAGAAGCCTTTTGTAATTAATTGAATAGTCCCTAATACCTTAAGGAAGTTACACCGAGCTTCCCGCTGTTTTAGGCAAAACATTGGTAAAAGAATATAGGTCACCAAGAACGCACACAGATTACTTCGGCACGTTTGTCCACAAAAATACTAAACATGCCTTTTTCATACTTTCGACTTGTGGCGCCCAACATGAAAAAAATCAGAAACATATTTTGAGGAACACCAAGTGTGGACAATTTAGAATATATTTCCTGCACCTGCCCTAGAAAACCCAAAAGGTAGTGGCTAAGATTCTTGAGGCCATGCTTCAAACATTCTACACGGAGCATGTCCACTTGGATGACCAGTGGAGAAGTGGACATTAAAAAAAGGCTATAAAAACGCTCGATCCTAGAGGCGCTGGACAACATCATTTCCAAATCACTTTAAAATATGCTTGGATAACTCCGGGTCCAGTAGACAGTCATAAGTTAAGATCAGGAAACCTGGATCCTCACAAAATTAGGCATTGATTCAGATTGACAGACTATTTTTTACAATTTAACTCCGTCAGTTAAGAACTTGAACCTGATATCATGTACAGATGATTATACCGTTCTGAAATCGGGTCGAACATCTGAATATACCTGTTCTGCTCCCAAATCAACTTTTCTACATAAAAAAGAGATACCTTGCGACACAATGTCAACATACGTGATCAGAGTAACTCTTTAGTATTGGGCGCCACTTTCCAAATGTTGCAACAGGCGTTAGTTGGCAGTAGCTCAACCATTGTTACGACGTACGAGCTCAAGACGTCCGAACTACGACAATAATTGAAACTTGACTGGCAAAGAAGAATTCAAAAATATTGGGCGCCACTTTTGGCTGACAGTAGCTCGGATAAGGTTAAAAAGATATGAATATGAAGACGATTTCAGCCAGAAACTATATCCTAAGAAGACCAGATGTGCTCATACAGTATCTCTAGGCTCTGCAATCTAAACCACGATCAGGAGGTACAAAATATTGGCCTAGACATTCGATAACTTGGTAACTGGAAATGCCGCCGAAACACCACGAACGAAGTCAGGAAGACGTAAAACTAGACCAGGTAATTGACTCGTCATTTTTCTTTACTGAAACCTGAATGTTATTCAAGAACTCTAAAATGTTGGGCGCCACTTTTGTTTTCTTCACATCTAAAAAATTAGAAAATCGAAAAACCTTCTGTAAATCGGTGGCTGACATCCTAAAATTTGATTTTGCTTCACTTTGGATTGGCGTTAAAGAAGTCTAAAACATTGGGCGCCACATACGACCGATGTTATAAACTTTAAAATATTGCGCGTCATTTATAGGAACAAATTGAAAATGAAAACGTAAGGAATAGATAATTCAATTTTAATCATTAGCTGGGAGCAGCGTGGGTAAAAATCTACAGACCAGGTGGATTTAATCTAATCCTTCTTTCGGGTAGACGTACAACCATTGGGAATTAGATAGATATCATTCCAACTCTGATCTGGTATCTCTAGATACTGAAATCTAGACCACGTTCAGGAATTCTGAAACCACTTTTGAGAAACCGTTAAGTGGAAATGGGAAGGACATGGAGACTATTGTCACGACATAAGAAGTCAGCACATACAACCTAAGAAAATCAGAAGGCCCTGCCTAAATTCTGCTCTGGCATCTCTAGGTACAATATCTTTCATTTTTTCAGTACTAAAATCTGACTGATATACAAGAACTCTAAAATGTTGGGCGCCACTTTCGGTAATTTAACATCTAAAATCAAAAAAAAAAAAAAAAAACACACACACAAGTCTTCTCCGAATTTTTGGCTGACAACCTAAGTACTTAGATGGGTTTTATACAAGATCTTATCTTGTGTATCTAGGTTTTTAAGCCGTAATTTACACTACTATTGGTAAATTTTTGATAGACTTTAAGATGTCGAAAATATTGGGCCCCACTTCCTAGAGAAAATTCAATTATTCCAACGATGGACTAAGCCATGACATACAGTATAAGAAGACCCGATAGGTTTTATCCGAAGCCTGATATGGTATCTCTAAGTACTTAAATATCGACTATGACCTGAAACCTGTAAAGAAAGTCTTAAAGTCGGGCGGGGCCGACTTTATGATACCCTACACCACTTTGCTAATTTAGTAGAGCTGCGCATAACAATTAAAAGTTTTTATTGGAGAATTTAATTATACACGCTATGATTATAATTATAATTTAAAGTTCAAAGGACTAAGTATGCCGAAGCATTTGTATCTTTTAAATTCGGAATTGTATTGCCCATTTGGTGCACAATTAATTTGAAATCGGATAAAAATATATATGGGAGCTATATCCAAATCGGAACCGATCTCGATAAAATTTGGCAAAGATATTTCTGAGCTGTATGTGATATATTTCCCTGAATATCGTTGTTACGCATATTACGGCTGTGGGTAACAAATATGACAAATCGGATGAACAGTTATATCTGAACCGATCTTCACCAAATTTGGCACACTGGCTTCTAGACTCAATTCGGTCGCAAGTGCCAAATTTCATCCAATTTGGGCAAATATTAGACCTTTGGTGCACAATCAAAGGTAAATCGGACGAAGTTATATATGGGAGCTATATCCAAATCGGAACCGATCTCGATAAAATTTAGCAAATGTATTTCTGAGCTGTATTTGATATACGTCCCCAAATATTGTTGTTACAGAGTGCATATTACGGTTGCGGAGGACAAAAATAACAAATCGGATGAACAATATATATGGGAGCTATAGCTATATCTGAACCGATTTCGATCAAATTTGGCATACTTATTTTCAGGTCCAATCTGATCGTACGTGCAAAATTTCATACTATTCGGACTGATATTACACGTTTGGTGCACAATAAAAGGCAAATCGGACGAAGACATATATGGGAGCTATATCTAAATTTTGACCGATTATCTCCAATTTCAATAGGGTTCGTCCTTGGGCCAAACAAATGATTTGTGCAAAATTTCATCTGGATAGGACAATAAATGCGAACTGTACTTTGGTTACAAAAATACATGGACAGACGGGCGGACGGACATGCATAAATCGAATCAGAATGTGATTCTATGCAGATCATCAAAAGGAACTATGGGTCTATTTCTTTACCTTTTGCCTGTTACAAACAAATGAACAAAGACAAAATACCCTGATCACCTTGTGGTGTAGGGTATAAAAAGATGGGAGTACCACCTTACGGTAGATATCTCTAGGTGTCGTCAGGTTTCCAACCCATTATTTTTCTAAGATCAGACCATAAACCTACATAGAATCATATCAAGTGGGAGATCGCCAGATTTCATAACCTCTCAATTTATTCATCAATCTACGCTTCAGAGAACAGAATTATTAATTGGATGTAGGAGAAGCACAGTAGATTTTGAAATTGGGCATTTCTTTCGGAAAGTTGGGTGCTTCTTTCAGCAAACACAATGTAGAGCAAAATTATCTCTAAATCCTTAGCGGAACCAGTTCGATTCTTCATTTTCTTAAGTAATCACTAAAAACGCAAACAGAACTAGTCTTGCTATATAGGTACCAGGGTATCTATCCAACATTTATTAATAAACCAAAAAAGAAGAAGATACGAAAGGACGCGGATACTGAGTCAATGACGTAAAACCTAAAAGAGCTAGATTCGTTCCGAAAACTAGTCTGGAGAATTTACGTATTTAAACATATACATTTTTCTACCAAAACCCGAACGACGTTAAAAACTTGTAAGAGTTGGGCGCCACTTTTGACATGTTATCACTAGGACGAACAACAAAAAAAAAACCATATGACTTTTGTCCCAACCGTAGCCTTAGGTTATTTAATTGTTATTTTTTTCGTGGAACCTGGTCTCAATTTCGCTATTCTTAAAATATTGGGAGCCACTTTAGACAAGTTAAAATTATTAGCTGGCAGTAGACTGCGTAAAGTAGATCATTACGAAAACGAATGAAGCTTAGAGATTCAACCTAGGAAGACAATAAGAGATTTATTCGAACCCTAATATGATATCTCTTCGGATTCAAAGAGTATAACCTGCTGTCACTGATGAAAACCCTAAGTATGTCAAAGCAATCACATTTAGCGACCTCTACTTGCCAGTTTTCTTAATTTCGCAGATTTGATATTTCAATCACTCTGGAATGTAGCTCTGAAATTCGTGCGAGCTTCGAACTCTTTACTCGGATTCGAGCGGGAGTGTTCTGAATTCTATGCCACTCGAATAAGAGCGAATATGTTTTGCTCGTTTTCGGGTGGGTAATTAGTTGTTGCCATTTTGTTGGTAAGTATGTGTATTTTTTCTTCCCCTATCTGCAAACGAAATAAATATCCATCTCCGAATGACCATTGTCTTAATTAGGCAAAAATTTCAAATTAGACCAAACATGCTGAAGAGCATTGTCGCCAAACAATATAAATGCTTACTCGAGTTTACTCTTGGAGTAAACTCTTACTCTATTTCGCTCATTCTCTTGGCTACTCTTATTTTTCAAACAGGAGTACTTCGCGAGCGCATCCACATACAACAAATGAGTGGAGAAAAAACTTCGTTTGAAACTCCTATCCTTCGAGCACTCTCTCTCTCTCTCTCTCGGTAGTAAAAAGAGTAAATCTAAGTTCATCTCATGGAGTTCAGTAGCTCTCTTTCACGAGGGAATACTGAAACTCTAAACCTGAATTTTCGCGAGTATTTTTTTTGAAAGAACATTCAACCTTGAATTCTGTTAAGAATATTCAACCTTGACTTCTGTTCAGGATACTTTTCAAGTGACCCATATTATTTTTTTACTTTATTCTTCACTTACCTCCTTCAAGCCCACAACCCCAACCAGACGGCCAATTTTCGTGACATAGGCATGATTGATGCCCACCATTGAGAACAGTGAATGTACTTTGAGTATAGAGGTTCGTTCGACCAGCTGGAAGGGACTTGGATCAATGTTGACATTGGCCTTTTCCAGATCGATGGGTTTTTGCATTTCTTCCATTTCCCATTTCTTTTGATCCTCCGGTGACATATCGATGACACGTTCTCGTGGCTAAAATAAAAACAAATAATATCCATAAATTAAAAATGAGGTGCTTAGAAAGTTTAGAAATAAATTGTAGCCATCACCATAACATACCAATTGGACACTTTTGACCTTTTTGATACTGCCTTTATAGGACTATACAAATGGGGGTTTTTGTGTTTCGCATAAGTTTATTGAAGTGTATGTACATGTGCGTAGTTAAAGATAATAGATGTTAAGAGCGAGTGGGAGAGAGAGAGAGAGATACAGTGTGTGTGTGTGGAAGAGAAAAGAAGAGAAAAATATACAGATTACATTAAAAGATTATACATTACACCATAATACCTCAGGGTTAGTAGGAACACTTTCATAAAATCAAGAAACTTTTTTCATAAAATAATTAATTTTCATAGAAAATAAGGAAATCTTACATAAATTCCAGAAATTAAATAGAATTCGGAAACATTGCATTCAATTTAGGAACTTTTCATAAAACGAGCTTATCTTTTCATAAAATCTATGAAATCTTACATAAATTTAAGGAACATTTTCATAAAATCAATAAAAATTCAATTTATGAACTTTTCATAAATTCAATGAACTTTTTCATTGAATCAAGTAACTTTTCATTCAATCTGGAACGTTTCATAAAATCAATTTTCACTTTTCATAAAATCTATGAACTTTTACATGGAATCAACAATGCTTTCATAAAAATTATGAATTTTTACATTAAAGGATTAGCAAGAACATATTCATAAAATCAAGGAACTTTTTTCATAAAATCATTAATTTTCATAGAAATAAATGAATTTTTACATAAATTCCGGGAACCTTTTCATAAAATCAAAAAAAGGCTTTTAAATAGAATTCGGAAGCATTGCATTCAGTTTAGGAGCTTTTCATAAAATCAATGAACTTTTTCATTAAATCAAGTAACAATTCATATAAGCAGTGAACTTTTTCATTGAATTAAATAACATTTCATTTAATTTAGAAACTTTTTCATCGAATTAAGTAACATTTCATTTAATCAATGAACTATTTCATTGAGTTAAGTAATATTCCATTCAATTTATGATCTTTTCATAAATTCAATGAACTTGTACATTGAATTAAGTAAAATTTCATTGGATCTAGGAACTCTTCATAAAATCAAATTATCTTTTCATAAAATTAATGAACTTTTACATGAAATCAAGAATTCTTTCATTAAAATTATGAATGGGTACATAAAATCAATGAAAATTTTTCATTAAATCAAGTAACATTTCATGAAATTTAGGAACTTTACCTAAAACCAGGTTTTCTTTTCATTAAATCTATGAAATCTTACATAAATTTAAAGAACATATTTATAAAATCAATAAAAATTCAATTTATGAAATTTTCCTAAAATCAATGAACTTTTTCATTGAATCAATTAATATTTCATTCAATTTATGAACTTTTCATAAAATCAATTTTCACTTTTAATAAAACCAATGAACATTTACATGGAATCAATACAGCTTTCATTAAAATTATGAATTTTTACATTTTTTACAACGAGAAAACAATACTTACTGGCCCTATGTGATTGGCTTGCAAGTTCTCAGTGGACTGAGTATCCTTTTCATTCAAATTCTGAGAGCATGCAGGATTTAGAAGATAATTTAGATGAAATAAGTAAAATATGCAGTATGTTCGGCCGGGCCGAACATTGAATACCCTCCACCATTTGGAACGAATTTTGGGAAATTTTCAAAAAAAAAAAGAAAATAGAATCCGTTAGAAAATTCTATTAAAATCTCAAGAATGTCGAATATAGCCGTTAAATTGGGGTCTACCGTTATATCCGGGCTATACGAAGACCTGGACCAGCAAAGACAATTTTCTGTCACAGGCTGTAGGACCTATTAGGAACTTCAAATATGAAATTTGAAACAACTTCGATAAATATTGTACATAAAATCGTCAAAATACCGAATTCGGGGAGGTACTGATACATGGGGCCTATACGAAGACCTGGACCTGCATCGACCATTTTCTGTCACAAACTGTAGTTCTCATTACGAACTCTAAATGAGTAATTTGAAACAGTTCCGGTGAATAATGACGCTAAAATCATCAAAAAATCGAATATTGGGAGGTACTGATGTATCGGGGCGATACGAAGACCTGGACCTGTATGGACAATTTTCTGTCACAGGCTGTAGTACCTATTAGGAACTTCAAATACGAAATTTCAAACAATTTCGGTGAATATTGTGCCTAAGATCATCAAAATACCGAATATGGGGAGGTACTGATACATGAGACCTATACGAAGACCTGGACCTGCATAGACAATTTTCTGTCATAGGCTGTAGCACCTATTAGAAACTTCAAATATGAAATTTCAAACAATTTCGGTGAATATTGTACCTAAGATCGTCAAAATACCGAATATAGGGAGGTACTGACACATGGGACCTATACGAAGACCTGGACCATCATTGACAATTTTCTGTCACAGGCTATAGTTCCCATTACGAACTCTAAATACGAAATTTGAAACAAATCTGGTGAATATTGTATCTAAAATCGTCAAAATACCGAATATGGGGAGGTATTGATACATGGGGCATGTACGAAGACCTGGAGATGCATAGACAATTTTCTGTCACAGGCTGTAATACCTATTACGAACTTCTAATTCCAAATTTGAAACATTTACGGTGAATAATTTCGCTAAAATCATCAAAATACCGAATATTGGGAGGTACCATTATATGGGGGCTATACGAAGACGTGGACCTGCACAGACAATTTTTTGTCATAGGATGAGGTATCCACTTCGAACTTCAAATACTAAATTTGAAACATTTACGGTGAATAATTTCGCTAAAATCATCAAAATACCGAATATAGGTAGGTACTGGTACATGGGGCCTATACGAAGACCTGGACCTACACAGACAATTTTTTGTCATAGGCTCTAGTACCTATTAGGAACTTTAAATACCAAATTTGAAACATTTACGGTGAATAATGTCGCTTAAATCTTCAAAATACCGAATGTAGGGAGGTACTGATATATGGAGGCTATACGAAGACTTGGACCTACATAGACCATTTTCTGTCATAGGCCGAAGAATACATTACGAACTTCAAATACCAAATTTGAAACATCTCCGGTGAATAATTTCGCTAAAATCATCAAAATACCGAATATTAGGAGGTACCGTTGTATGGGGGCTATACGAAGACGTGGACCTGCACAGACAATTTTCTGTCACAAGCTGTAGTATCCATTACGAACTTCAAATACCTAATTTAAAACATTCACGGTGAATAATTTCGCTAAAATAATCAAAATACCGAATATCGGGAGGTACCATTATATGGGGGCTATACGAAGACCTGGATCTACAAAGACAATTTTTTGTCATAGGCTGTAGTACCTATTAGGAACTTCAAATATGAAATTTGAAACAACTCCGGTGAATAATGTCGCTAAGATCGTAAAAATACCGAATATCAGGGTGTACAGTTGTATGTGGGCTACAGGATATCGTGGACCTATATAGACATTTTTCTTCCAGGGGGTAAAGTGCTTAGAAAGAACTTCTAGTATGGATTTTTAGACAATTATATTGAAAAATGTAGCTATAATCCGCAAAATATCAAATATAGGGAGGTTCGTTATATGGGGGATATACGACATCGTGCACCTACATAGACTGTACTCTTCCAGGGCGTAATTTACTCAGAAGGAACTCCTTTTGTTGATTTTCAGGAAATTTCATTGAAAAATTTGGCTACAATCATCAAAATGCCGAATATCAGGGGGTACCGTTGTATGGGGGCGATACGATATCTTGGATCGATATAGCCCATCTTCGAACTTGACCTGCCTGCAGACAAAATACTAATCTGTGCAAAATTTTAGCTTCCTAACCATAATTGATTTTGAATCTAGCGTGATTACACCAGACGGATAGACGGAGAGGGCTAAATCGTCTTATATTTAAAATAATTATTTCGATGAGTTACAAACGGAATGACGAACTTAATATACCCTCCATACTATGTATGTATGGTGGAGGGTGTAAAAATAAAGTACATGCCCACTCTAAACCACCCACCCATACTTACCTGATTCTCCGTTTCCTTTTCATTTTTCTCAACATTTAACGATTCAGAGCTAATATTTTTATTTTTACCATTCCCCTCCACCGTTTCCTTACTAGGACTGGGGTTGCCATCCCCAGAGACGCCCTGTTGTGTTTCTAGATTTTGTTTATCTTTTTCTGCCTTTTTCAATTCTGTCGATTTTTTCAGTAGCATTTTAAAGTTGTCATGCTTTTTCAAAATTGATTTAATAGTGGGTTTATTAACTTTATTTTGTTTAGTATTCTCAGCCGTTATGGCATCAAAATCCGCCTCATTTAGTGTGTTGTAATAGAGATCTTTACATTTTTCGGAATTTTTCAAAATCGATGGTAGTGGCTGCATATTTGGCTGATGTATCGGCTTGAATTTGGCCCGACCATGGATGTCATTTATAATTGTCGTATTATTCAGACCAATAATATACGGCTGAGTTTTTTTAAGTCTTGGTGGGGTACCTGGTGGTACTTGCTTGCAAATATTTTCAAAATTTCCAATTGAAGTTATCAAATGAAAGAGTTGAGGGGGGGATGGAGGGAGATGCGGAATGAAAAGTGGATGTGAGGAGGGCGAGAAGAAATGCAAGCAACTAGACTTGTTTCTAAAATACATTACAAAGGGGCAAAAGGGTGGGGGGGATATTTGAAGAATATTATAAATATTATATTCAGGGATTTGTCCACATTATGTAGGCTTCGTTCAAAGCCAAAGTATCAGTATGAAAGTATGAAACTCGAGCAAGGACCTATTGAAAATTTACGTATATATAAGAGATATTCCCTAGCTCAAGAAGCCTGTCAAACGGGTCGGAAATATATTCAATCACAAATCAATGCAGTATGACTGCAGTATTCGTAGTCTCACCTTCCCCCCATAAAGGTAGCCGATTGGTGCAAAGTATCAGTCGATTTTGCTCACAGATGTATACCCTCAGTCAATGTTCGATTATTTAAATAAATTCTAAATTTCAAATTGTTGACCCTCTATGGAGTAGGATCCGAAGGAATGGACCAATATTGTTCATTCATCGGACCCAAATAAATATGATATAAATATTGCGACGTGCCATGTTTGGATTACATTGGTTAGTTCCTTCACTTTATATGAGATATGTGATCATTTTTAGAAAATGGTAAAATATGCGTGAGGTACCAGATAGGGTCGACCGAAATATTCCGGAATGAGCATTATATGAGAATTATTAGAAAATCGAGCATTTATATCCAATTTTATGCAAAATCATAAATTTCGATAAATGCCATATTCATCTCAGGATTTTGGTTGAGAGACATATATTTAGATATAGCAAGTTGTAAAGCATCGCTGAATTGTTTGAAAGTTATGACAGATAAAAGTAATAAAAATTGTGTCCTTTTGTGGGTGAGGTACCAGAAGGGGTTCGCAGATATATATCATCTTCACAACAGATCTAACGTTAGCAAAAATATTTGGATGTGTGAAATTTGAAGAGAGTTGAGAGAGCTTTCTCTGTTCGTTTTGATTTTCAAAATCTTAAACCCTCTGGGCGGGTACCAAAAGAAATGGTCCGATCTCTACCATCTTTATAACAGATCTTGTGTTGATGAAAATATTGGCATATACCAAGTCTTGAATAGAATCGGATGTTAATTTCGCGTTTTATGAGCTTCATGGATATTCAAATATTTCAGCCATTGTGGGTGAGGACCAGAAGGAGTGGGCCGATATATCCCATCTTCACAACAGTGAAATATAAAGAGAATCTGATGCTTATTTCGGATTTATATTTTATAAACGTTTTGGTTATTCAAAACTTTGACCCTTTGTGGGGAAGGTACCAAAAAAAAAAAAATGGTCCGATCTCTAATGTTTTTATAACAGATCCTGTGTTGATTGAAATATTTAGATGTTCAAAGCCTAAATGGAATCGGATATTAATTTCGCGTTTTATGAGCTCAATGGATATTAAAATATCGACCATTTGTGTGGGAGGTACCAGAAGGAGTGGACCGATGTTGTCCATTTTCACACCTAGCCTAGCACTGATGAAAATATTAGGATTCGCAAAGTTGGAGTAAAATCGGATTACCCTTTCTCTGTCTGTGCAATATATTATTTTCTTTGAAAATTTTGACATTTTGTGTGAGAGGTACCAGAAGGATCTTGGGTTAATAAAATTATTGGGATGTGTGAAATTTAAAGACAATTTTATAAGAGTTATAATTATTCCAAATTTTGATCCTTTGTAGGGGAGGTACTTGATGGAATGGGCCGATATAGTCCATTTTCGCACCTGATCTAGCACAGATGCAAATTTTGGGATTCTCAAAGTTGGAGCAAAATAGGATTATCTTTCTCTTTCCCTGCAAAAAATATATTTTTTGAAAATTTCAACCTTTTGTGGGTAGGTACCAGAAGGAGTGGACCGATATTGTCCATCTCCGAACCCGATCTAAGTTTAACAATAATAATAAGATATACGAAGTTTGGATGACTACACTTTTATTTGAAATGGAAAAAGCAAAACGTGCGCTCGGACATAATCCCCACGGTCATAATCCCCATTGCAATTGTGGGGATTATGTCGTTTTTTTCGGTCATAATCCCCATAATAAAGTGAAGAGTATACCGTGTGCTGTGGGGACTACTTACAAAAATTTATTAAATGTAGTAAACTTGGGTTCGCGTTAGCCGGTGTGCGGACATACCCAGAGGTAAAAGTTTTTGGACATACCCATTATAATGGGACTATGTCCGCTACGTTCTGGGGTTTATGACCGTTTTTTTTTTCTTGGACATAATCCCCATTCCATTATGGTGGTTCGGTCATAATCCCTAGAAAGTAGCGGACATAACCCGATAAATTTTTTCAGAAAAATGTCTCAAGGGCGTACATTTTAGGAACATTTTTCAGTCTTTTGTACTTTTTAGATAATTTTTAATTAATTTCTTAATGTTAAATAAATAATTTTCAAGAGATTGTATATTTGGGAATATATTTTAAAGGACATGAATTTTTAAGAATATTGTTCGAAGGTCGAATATGAGATTTTTAGAAAATTATTCAAAAGACATCGATTTCTTAGAAATATTTTTAGAAGATATGGAAGCGTTTAGAAACAATTTCAAAGGATGTTTATATTTTGGGAAAAATTTCAAATGATGTGGATTCTTAGAGATATTTTTTAAGGGACTCGGAATTTTTGGAATTTTCCTAAAAGAGGTGGTTTTTTAGAATTTTTTTCAAAGGATGTGGATTTTTAGATGCATTTTTAAAGTTCGTGAATTTTTGAGGAATGTTTGTAAAAGGTTTTTTTAATTTTTTTTTTTTGGAAAAATGTTTCAAAAACATTAAATTTAAAAAAAGGTTTAAAGGATATTGATTTTTTAAAAAATCCATATTGATTTTTTAAAAAGTTTTGGAGTAGTTTTAAAAGAGGTGGATTTTTTTAGAGAGATTTTTAAATGATGAGGATTTAGATATGATTTAAAAAAAGGATTTTATAGGAATATTTGTGAAATATTTGAATTTTTTGAAAATATGTTTCAAAAACGTTAAATTTTTTAAAATAATTTTAAAAATATCGATTTTTTAAAAAATCCACATTCCTTAAAAATAATTTAAAATATATGGATGGATTACTTAGGAACAATTGTAAGTTTAATATTCCTAAGAATATTAAATTAACATAGAATAATAAACATTAACATAGAATAATTAATTAATAATTAATTCTATGAAATTATAAAAAAAAAATGATTTTTTTTGAAGATATGTAAAAGAATTTCCATTTTATGGGAATATATAAATAATATGTTAAAGGATATGGACTTTTTAGGTATTTTTTCAAGGACATCTAGCGTTCGGGGTTACGGTGAACGAATGTGTCTCGATTTTCTTGTGAATTTGAAAATTTGAATTTGGGAAAATTATTTATTACCATATTTGCATCCTCCTCGGATTGAGGGTTCTTTTGTGCATTCTTTGCGTTTTGGAAAAAATAGAAATTATAAAATAACAAAATACAACAACACAAACAACAAAAGCGGTTAGTATAAACACCAAGCTAAGACATGCATGCCAAACCAAAAATTTCAAAATCCATTTTCTCAAACTTACCAACTGAACTTTTTTCGAGATACCCGGTGTACTGGGCGCCCTCTGTACCGTTGGGGTGCCGGGTGTCATCATGTCACCGGTACTCGTTGCAGCCGATATCGAACCCGGCTCCTGGCCATCACTGGGCTGAACATCTTGTAGGGTGGTTGATTTCTTGAAAATGGTCTCGAAGGCATTGCGAATGCGCTGCTCGGCGCCGGTAATGGTGGAATATGGCGTTATGCTGGGACTATTCAGCGAGGTAGGTGTAAAAGCTTTAAGATTAAATGAGTTTGTCTTTTTGAGAATGGATTTACGCGGCTGGAGCGTGTTGTTGAGGGTCTCTTGTTTCTTTTTCGGTGGCAACATTTCATCGTTGGCTATTTGACGTAGGCTAAGAATGTCAGGGGCGGGCAGGACTTCGAAGCGAGATGGACGACGCATGCGCTGTTCGGCCTCTTGCTTTTTGCGTTCCTCTTCGCGTATACGTTCCTCGGCCTCCTTTTTCCATTTCTGGGCTACCTCCATGCGTTTTTCACGGCCAATGTGTTTTTCGATCATTTTGATGAGTTCATAACGTTGCACCGATCCCAGGAGGATCATATTTTCCGGACTATCGACCAGGGGAAGGGAACGCAGCGTCTTGTTGCTCTTTAGTACTTCTTTGAGACGTTGATAGGTGATACCTTGCCATATGTACTTGACATCGCGCACCATAAAGTCCTCCACATAGATGCTATACATACCCGAACTGGATGGCAGTAGATCGGGCAGATATGGCAACTTTTTGATAAGTATAATACTATCATACATAGAGGGCTGGAGCAGGGCCGCAATGGCATTGGCTATCAGGACAGCTATCATCACCGGCACCACGTGCGTAATTTGGCCGGTCATTTCGAACACGATCACCGCCACCGAGACCGTATGCGTGACAGCGCCCGAAAATGCTGCAGCACCCACCACAGCATAACCGCCGGGATTGATGGGCGAGAGGCGACCGCCATAGCGGACACCGTTGGGAAACCACAAATGCATGCTCTCACCTATCAAACGACCCAAGCCGGCACCGATTTTGAAGACGGGTATGAAAATGCCGGAGGGTACGGGTATCGTCGAGGCAATGATGGAGAACACAAACTGGAGGGAGGGGAGGGCATTTTTAGAATTTATTTTGAATTTTCAAATTATGTCCTTACCGTAAAAATAACATAGCATGTCAGATTGATGAATACATTCGTATATGGTGTCACCCAATGGGTTACAATGGCGGCTTGTTCCACAGTCAGATCATCGCGAGACCAGGTAAAGTTACTAAACAGCTGGGTCACCTGTTCATGGGTACCCAATTCACCGGCAATAAATTGGCCCGTGCCCAAGGGAAAAGATATGGTTGATACCAACAATGCCAAGAAGCCTGGGTAGAGGAAGCGACTGGAAAGGAGAAGGGAGAAAAATAAGAAAATAAATTCAAGGACCAAGGACCAAGGACCAAAGTTAATCAGGAGAAAGTTCTGGGGTTTCAAGGATGAATGAATTCTGTAAAATATTCAAAGGACGTTTTTTTCAGGAGAACCTTTGGAACTTTTGGAACCCATTTTCTCTATAGAAAATATTTTCCAAGGTCTGAGAATACATTTTTCGAAAGAACAAAAATTATCAATGCAAAAAATTGAATGATCTAATAAATAATTCCAAGGATATTTTTTTCAAGGACACCTTTGTTCATTCTCTTTGGATATTTTTCCCTTAAGGACCTCTTTTCTCTACAAAAAAATATTTTTCCAAGGTCCGAGGATAAGCATTTCAAAAGAAAAAAATCATCAATTCAAACAATTCAAGGATCAAGGACCAAGGTTCCTCAGAAAATTTTTTTAACTTCTGTTGACATTTTTTCCCTAAGGACCTCTTTTCTCTACAGAAAATATTTTTTCAAGGTCTAAGAAAAAAATTTCCCATAGAAAAAAATATAATTTCAAAAAATTCAAGGATCAAGGACCAAGGTTCCTTAGAAGAATGTTTAGGGAACCAGAACTCAGTTAAAAAAATCCAAGAACATTTTTTTACAAGGGAAACATTTTCATCTTTTGTGGAACTTTTCCCTAAGGACCCATTTTATCTATAGAAAATATTTTTCCAAGGCCTGAGGATAATAAGAAGAAATTGCCATCAGGAACTGAAGATAATTTTATTCTGAAAACATATCCTCGGAAGAAAGTTCTGGGAAACCAAGGACGTATGAACTCTAATAAACAATTCCTAGGACATTTCTTTTAAGGAAACTTTTTTCATCTTCTGTGTACATTTTTCCCCTAAGGACCTCTTTTCGCTACGGAAAATATTTTTCCAAGGTCTCAAAAGGCCTCAAAAGAAAAAAAATGCATCAATTCAAAAAATTCAAGGATCAAGGACCAAGGTTCCTCAAAAGAAATTTCTGGGGAACCAATGATGAATGAACTATGATAACAATTCCAAGGACGTTTTTCCAGGAGAAAAGGTCGTCATCTTCTGTGGACCTATTTTTCCTATGGACCCATTTTCTCTATAGAAAATATTTTTCCACAGCCTGAGGATAATTTTTTGGCCATCAGGAAATGAAGATAATTTTCTTGTTAAAACAGATCCTCGAAAGACAGTTCTGGGGAACCAAGGACGTATGAACTCTAATAAACAATTCCAATGACATTTTCTCTAATGGAACATTTTTTCATCTTCCATAGCCATTTTTTCCTAACGACCTCTTTTCCCTATAGAAAATATTTTTCCAAGGTCTGAGGATAAATTTATCAAGGAACAAGTTTCCGCAGAAGAAAGTTCTGGGGAACCAGTGATGACTGAACTCTGATAAAAAAAATTCCAAGGACCTTTTTTCCAAGGGGATTTTTTTTTCATCTGCTGTAGTCCTTTTACCTAAGGACCCATTTTCTCTACAGAAAATATTTTTCCAAGGCCTGAGAATAAATTTTTCAAAAGAACAAATTGCCATCAGGAACTGAAGATAATTTTATTCTGAAGACATATCCTCCGAAGAAAGTTCTGGGAAACCAAGGACGTATGAACTCTAATAAGCAATTCCTAGGACATTTCTTTCAAGGAAACTTTTTTCATCTTCTGTGGACATTTTTTCCCCTAAAGACCTCTTTTCACTACAGAAAATATTTTTTCAAGGTCTAATAATACATTTTTCAAAAGAAAAAAATGCATCAATTCAAAAAATTCAAGGATTAAGGACCAAGGTTCTTCAGAAGAAAGTTCTGGGAAATCAATGATAAAAATCTGATAAAAAATTCCAAGGACCTTTTTTCCAATTGGATTTTTTTTCATCTGCTGTAGACCTTTTTCCTAAGGACCCATTTTCTCTATAGAAAATATTTTTCCAAGGCCTGAATATAAATTTTTCAAAAGAAGAAATTGCCATAAGGAACTGAGGATAATTTCCTTGTTAAAACAGATCCTCGGAAGAATGTTCTGGGAAACCAAGGACGTATGAACTCTAATAAATAATTCCTATGACATTTTTTCCAAGGAAAATTTTTTCATCTTCTGTGGATATTTTTCCCCTAAGGACCTCTTTTCTCGAAAGAACATATTTTTCCAAGGTATGAGGAAAATTTTTTCAAAAGAAAAAAATTAATCAATCCAAAAAATTCAAGGATTAAGGACGAAGGTTCCTCAAAAGAAAGTTCTCTGATAAAAAATTCTAAGGACCTTTTTTCCAGGAGAAAAGGTCGTCACCTTCTGTGAAAATTGTTCCCCTAAGGACCTCTTTTTTCGAAAGAACATATTTTTCTAAGGCCTGAGAATAAATTTTTCAAAAGAAGAAATTGCCATCAGGAACTGATGACAATTTTATTCAGAAAACATATCCTCGGAAGAAAGTTCTGGGAAACCATATGAACTCTAATAAACAATTCCAAGGACAATTTTTTCAAGGGAACATTTTTTCACCTGCTGTGGACATTTTTCCCCCTAAGGACCTCTTTTCTCTGCAGAAAATATTTTCCCAAGGTCTGAGGATAAATTTTTCAAAAGAAAAAAAAAAAAAAAACATCAATCCAAAAAGTTCGAGGATCAAAGACCAAGGTTCCTCAGAAGAAAGTTCTGGGGAACCAATGATAAATTAACTCTGATAGAAAATACTAAGGACCTGTTTTCCGGGAGAAAAGGTTGTTATCTTCTGTGGACCTTTGTTCCCTAACGACCCATTTTCTCTATAGAAAATATTTTTTCAAGGCCTGAGAATAATTTTTTCAAAAGAAGATATTGCCATCAGGAGCTGAAGATAATTTCCTTCTTAAAACAGATCCTCGGAAGAAAGTTCTGGGGAACTATGAACTCTAATAAACAATTCCAAGGACATTTTTTTTCCAAGGAAACATTTTTTCATCTTCTTTGGACATTTTTTCCCCTAAGGACCTCTTTTCTCAACAGAAAATATTTCTCCAAGGTCTGAGAAAAAATTACCAAAAAAAAAAAAAAAAAACACAAAAAAAATTCATCAATTCAAAAATTTGAGGTATCAAGGACCAAGGTTCCTCAGAAGAAAGTTCTGGGGTACCAATGATGAATGAACTTTCATAAAAAATTCTAAGGACCTTTTTTCCAGGAGAAAAAGTTGTCATCTTCTGTGAAAATTTTTTCCATAAGGACACATTTTCCCTATAGAAAATATTTTTCCAAGGCCTGAGTATATTTTTTTTCAAAAGAAGAAATTGCCATCATGAACTGAAGATAATTTTCTTTTTAAAAAAGATCCTTGGATAAGGACATTTTTTTCAAGGAAACATTTTTTCATCTTCTGTAGACCCTTTTCCTAACGACTCTTAAATTTTTTAAAAGAAAAAAATCATAAATTCAAAATCTTCAAGGATCAAGGACCCAGGACTTAGGTTCCGCAGGAGAAAAATCTGGGGTCCGAGGACCCCTTTTCCAGTAGAAATGGTTCTCATCTTCCGATATTCGGTATTTTGATGATTTTAGCGAAATTATTCACCGGAATTGTTTCAAATTTGGTATTTGAAGTTCGTAATGAATACTACAGCCTAAGACAGAAAATTGCATGTGCAGGTCCACGTTTTGTTATAGCCCCCATATAACGGCACCTTCCGATATTCGTTATTATGGTGATTTTAGCGGCATTATTCACCGGAAATATTTAAAATTTGGTATTTGAAGTTCGGGATGGGAACTACAGTCTTTGCTAGAAAATTATCTATACAGGTTCAGGTCTTCGTATAGGTTCCATATAACGGCACCTTCTGATATTCGGTATTTTAATGATTTTAGCGACATAATTCGCGGGAATTGTTTCAAATTTCGTATTTGAAGTTCCTAATAGGTACTACAGCCTGTGACAGAAAATTGTCTATGCAGGTCCAGGTCTTCGTATAGGTCCCATATATCAGTACCTCCCTATATTCGGTATTTTGACGATTTTAGGTACAATATTCAACGAAATTGTTCTAAATTTGGTATTTGAAGTTCGTAATGGATACTACAGCCTATGATAGAAAATTGTCTGTGCAGGTTCAGGTCTTCGCATGGGCTCCATATATCAGTATTTCCCTATATTCGGTATTTTGATGATTTCAGCGACATTATTCACCGGAATTGTTTCAAATTTGGTATTTGAAGTTCGTAATGGGTATTACAGCCTAAGACAGAACATTTTCTGTGCAGGTCCAGGTCTTCGTATAGCCTCCAAAAATGTCGGTACCTCCCTATATTCGGTATTTTGATGATTTTAGCTACATTATTAACCTAATTTTTTTCAAGTTTCGCATTTGCATATTGTAATGGCTATGCAGGTCCACGTCGTCGTATAGACCCTAATATAACTGCTATATTCGGTATTTTTAAGATTTTAAAAGAATTTTTGACGGATTTAATTTTTTTTGAAAAGTGCCAAATTCGTTACATATGTTGTCGTTGTTCTCTCAAAAAATAGTTTTTTTAAGGTTTGAGGATAAGTTTTTCAGGATCTGATAATAGTTTCCTTTGGAAAACACATCTCTGTTTCTGGCATTAGTTTGAGGATTACTCACTTCTTTTGGAGGAACTTGTTCATTTTCTTATTCGAGCGCATAAATAGGACGTATCTTCGATGTACCCAGACATAGGCGGCTCCGCCAAGGCCACAAACGACACTGAAATGAAAAAAAGGCAAAGGATTATTAGAAATAGAAGGTGGTTTTAGGGAAACCCCTAAACATGTCCATTCTTTAGGAAATCCCTCATTTTTTTTTGGAAAATTCTCATTTTTTGGAAAAATTTTTTTCCTTCATATCTTCAAAAGTTTTCTTTGGGAAAATTCCTATTAAGCTTGTTAGAATGTGATTTTCAGAGATTAGAATTTGGCAACTTACCCCATCAAGGCAAAGACAAACAACTCCTGAGGATCGAATGGAAACTCCGTTGTGAAATTCGTTAAGAACACTGCCCTCACTGTGTCGGCATTTTGGAACCAAACGGCCAGCAAACGGAAAACTGTAGCACCACAGACGGCGGCAAAGAAACCGCGCCAATAGTTACGCACCGCAAAATAGGTGGTTGTTACTTCTATACTAAATAATACACCTGGAGGATGAAGAAGAAAAACCATTAATTTCTAAAGAACCATATTAAAGATGTTATCGCTACTCACCGCCCACTGGCGCCGCAAAACACGCTCCCACACCCACTGCACAGGCAGCGGCCAACATTTCCGAGTTGCGTGACTCGTTCTCATAGATACCTTGGAATGATGTTACTAGCTTACTTAATAATTGTGCTACAATACTTGCTATATGTACGAATGGACCCTGGATTGGGGTGATGGGTGATGATGGTGAGGATCAGCAAAAAGAGAAAAATCAAATAAAAAATTCGTGTAATGTTGGCAACCCTGTTCTTTGTTTCTGTACTTTGACAATTTTAATACTTACTTCCTTTCCTAATGGCATACCACTGCCCAAAGTTGCCGTTAAACCAACAATTTTGGCCACTAATGTCTTAAAGGTTAAATACTCTTTTAGGGCCACCCCTCGCAGAATGGTTTTCATTTCGGGTATACCGGAACCTAAAGATATGGGGAGGAGGAGATATATGTGTAATTTTTTGGTGGGTTTAATTAAAATTAACTTAGAGAACTAAACGAAAAATGGTTTAAAGATTAGTAGAGCGACAGGGGGAGAAAGTTTGAGAAGAAATTGCATGCCTTTCTGTAGTGGGAGTAGAAAACTTTTTTTCGTCGGTACCGACAAAAATTAGTAACCTTCATGAAAATTTTAAATAAAACTTAACAACATTGTTTCTACCGCTAGGCTTAACCTTCCAAAAAATTTCGATAATTACTGAAATTTTAAGTTATTGAAAAATAGAATTATAGAATCACACAAATGACCTCAACATTTATTCATAAACACCCTCAACTGATGAGAGGTGAAAAACGAGATGAGATTTTGAAAACGAATTTTATATATCGTTTTTTTTTTAAGTCCGAATTTATATAAGGCATGTTTTCTGGAGGCAATTCTTTGTTTGCAAGAGAAAGGGGTAAGGGGAAAAAATTGCTCGTACTGGAAATTTTCTGGTTTTTATTATTTATTTATTTTTTACAAAAAAATAAAAATAAAGAAATAAATAAAAATTGCAGAGAAGACAATGATGAAAAACAAAATTGCTTTATATAAATGCAGGAGGCAAGTACAAAAGAGAACGATAAAAGTTGCTGCCAGTAAACTTGCCTAATATAAATCAGGACTAATCAGCTGAAAATCGACATTCGATATTTAACTTTTAATCATAAATCGTCCAAAATCGACTTCCTTTTTAATTCTTTTAATGTGGAGCTTAGTGCTTTGAGGGAATTAATTTAAATAACAGAAATATTAAACAAAACACGCAAATCGCTGCATACTTTTAGGCTCATTTAATAGAAAGTCGATTTATATATCCCTAGTCCTTTCTAAGGGAGACATCTTATTCCTTGTAGCCTGTAGCATTTATTTTCTATGAAACTAAAGGGGGTTTTTTTATTAGGTTTTTTATACCCGCCACCATTTTATATAAATATACCCTATAAATTAGCTTTGTCATTCCGTTTGTAAATCCTCAAAATACTCTTGGTAGACCCTACATAGTATACATATTCTGGACCAGAGTAAAATCCTGGAAGCGTAAGTCCTTTCGAACGAATTGAGATAGAAGGCTAAAATTGTACACACGTTAGTAGACAGGTTAAGTTCGTAAATGGGACATGTCGGTCTACGTTTTCGTATAGCCCCCATACAACGGTACAACCCGATATTCGGTATTTTCATGATTTTAGCGACATTATTCATCGCATTTTTTTCTAATTTCGTATTCAAAACTTGTAATAGGTAGTACAACCTATGACAGAAAATTGTTTATGCAGGTCCACGTCTTCATATAGCCCCCATATAACGGTACCTTCTAATATTCTGTATTTTGATGATATTAGCGACCATTTTTTTTACCGGAATTGTTTCAAATTTCGTTTAAGTTCGTAATGGATACTACAGCCTATGACAAAAATCGCGTATGCAGGCCACCACATAACGGTTCCTCCCAATATTCGATATTTTTATGATTTTAGAGACATTATAGATCGGAATTGTTTCAAATTTCGCATTTAAAGTTCGCAATATGTTCGGCAAGCAATGACAAAAAATGTCTATGCAGGTCTTCCTATAGTCCGCATATAACGGTACCTTTCGGTATTCTGTATTTTAATGATATTAGCCACATTATTCACCGGAGTTGTGTTAAATTTCATATTTGAAGTTCGAAATCGGTACTAAAGCATATGACAAAAAATTTCTTATGTAGATTCACATCTTTAAATAGCTCCTATATAACGGATTTCATTTATATCTAATAATAGACGGATTTTTTTGAAAATTTTCAAGTTCTCGCCAAGTGGTGAAGGGTATTAAAAGTTCGGCCCCGCCGAACTTCGCTGCTTTTTTACTTGTTCGTGTTTATTTTACTATTAATAGATTTTATAGAGTTTATAGCTCTCATTATGACTGCATTAACAGATCTCTCTCACTCACACTCGTAATTATTATTTCTCTCCTCTTTGTTGTAATTTCGAAATTAGATGGCAATCCATCAAAATCATCATTTCAATAAGAAACTGGCAACGGTGGTACTATATTGTTCCCGTTCAAATTCGACTAGTAACAAGAAAAAAGGGTTTTTTATACCCTGTATCTAATTAGAAAAAGAGTAGGAGAGAACAGATCTACTGAGAACTTAAATTGTCAAGTTTCATCTAATTTGATTGGAAATTGCGGCAGAAACCTTCAAAATACCGAAAATCGGGAGGTATAGAGGGAGGCTATACCAATTAGTGGACCTATAGAGATTTTTTTTGTGCAATAAGAGAACTTACCTACCAAGAACTCCAAATGATTTGTTTGGAAATTATGGCGGAAACCCTTAAAAATACCGGAAAGCTAGAGGTACCGTTATATTGAATCTGAGGTACATGCTTTAAGTGCTAAGATCCAGTTAATTTGGGCTGATTTAGTCATTTGATGCACAATGCACCTGAAATCAGATAAAGATATATATGGGATCTATATCCAAATCTGAACCGATCTTGCAAAATTTTAGCAACTTATTTCTGAGCCGCATCTGATATTTGGTACCAAAGATCATTGTTGTGGAGTGCATATTACACATGTAAGGTGCTAAAAATCCCAATCAGGATCAAACATATAAATGGGAGCTATAGCTATATCTGAACCGATTTTTACCAATTTTTATTTACTAGCTTCTAGACTGAATTCCGCCGGAAGTGTAGTCCATTTGGGCTGCTATTGTCATTTGGAGCACAATAAACCTGAAATCGGATAAAGATATATATATGGGAGCTTAAACACCAAATCGAATGAAACATATATATGGGAGTTATAGCTATATCTGAACAGATTTTCACTAAATTCGATGTACTGGCTTCTAGACTGAATTCGGTTGGATGTGCTAAAATTCAGGTCATTTGGACTGATTTTGGCCATTTGGTACCCAATTAACTCGAAATCGGTTGAAGATATATATTTAGGAGCTATATCTAAATTTGAACCGATTCCCACCAATTGCAATAGGGTTCGCCCTTGGGCCGAACAAATATTTTTTGTAAATAAATGCGACCTAGATTTTGTTCACAAAAATAAATGGACAGACGGACAGACAGACGAACTCACATTCATAAATCGACATAGAAAGTGATTCTATGCAGATAATATCTATCTTGTTTCCTTTTGTCTGTTACAAAAATGCACAAAGACATAATGCGGACGGACGGACATCGACATGGAATTTTATGCTGATCAAGAATATTTATACTTTTTGGAGTCTAAAATGAATATTTCGAGGTATTACAATCGGAATGACAAATTAAAATTTATGGTGGAGGGTATAAACATTATTTACTCAAATTATACGTCTCGAGTATGATTCCCCCTAGGTACTATTATAAGACTAATATGTTTGGGTTCTTAACTCCACTATTTTCAAAAAAAGTTTCCATATTCCGATGTAAAATCTATTGCATAATGATGTGTTTAAACTTTATAACATTCCATGCTTTCATTCGAGGGATTATTAAATTATTAATTTATGGCAACTCTGTGCTACAGAGGTTTGTTAGTGGGAGAGAATTCGTGTTCAAGTTGGAGCTTGTTAGAAAAAACTTGTTAATAAACTTATGTGAGTATATGTGAGCAACAAACCATTAAAGTAAAGTAAGTAAGTAAAAAAATTTACAAGTTGTTTTAATAAAAATTAAATTAAATAAAAATTTTGAAAATTTTAAAAAAGTGGAATTTTGTGAAAATACATTTAACAAGCCTTACTTTGCAGTACTTTAATGAAATGTTTTGGAGAGAAATTTAAATTTATTTATAGATGGATTTTTTCCACATATGAACATGGTTATAGGAAGCTGAGTGAGAATGATTTTCTTTTGAGATTAAGTGGGGTACACACAATCAGTTTTGAATGACATTTTTATATCCTACACCACAAGGTGGTCAGGGTATTATGTCTTTGTGCATTTGTTTGTAACTGGCAAAAGGAAACGAGATAGACCCATAGTTCCTTTTAATAATCTGGATAGAATCACATTCTGAGTCGATTTATGCATGTTCGTCCGTCCGTCCGTCTGTCTGTCCATGTATTTTTGTAAACAAAGTACAGTTCGCATTTATTGCCCTATCCAGATGAAATTTTGCACAAATCATTTGTTTGACCCAAGGACGAACCCTGTTGAAATTGGAGATAATCGGTCAAAATTTAGATATAGCTCCCATATATATCTTCGTCCGATTTGCCTTTTATTGGGCACCAAACGACTAATATCAGTCCGAATAGTATGGAATTTTGTACGTACGATCAAATTGGACCTGAAAATAAGTATGCCAAATTTGATCGAAATCGGTTCAGATATAGCTATAGCTCCCATATATATATTGTTTATCCGATTTGTTATTTTTATCCTCCGCAGCCGTAATATGCACTCTGTAACAACAATATTAGGGGTAATATATCAAATACAGCTCAGAAATACATTTGCTAAATTTTATCGAGATCGGTTCGGAGATTTGGATATAGCTCCCATATATAACTTCGTCCGATTTACCTTTGATTGTGCACCAAACGTTTAATATTTGTCCAAATGGGATGAAATTTGGCACTTACGACCGAATTGAGTCTAGAAGCTAGTATGTTAAATTTGGTGAAGATCGGTTCAGATATAGCTATAGCTCCCATATATACTGTTCATCCGATTTGTTATATTTGTTACCCACAGCCGTAATATGCACTCGGTAACAACAATATTTGGGGAAATATATCAAATGCAGCTCCGAAATACCTTTGCTAAATTTTATCGAGATCTGTTCGGAGATTTGGATATAGCTCCCATATATAACTTCGTCCGATTTACCTTTGATTGTGCACCAAACGTCTAATATTTGGCCGAATGGGATGAAATTTGGCACTTAAGACCGAATTGAGTCTAGAAGCTAGTATGTCAAATTTCGTGAAGATCGGTTCAGATATAGCTATAGCTCCCATATATATTGTTCATCCGATTTGTTATATTTGTTACCCACAGCCGTAATATGCCCTCCGTAACAACGATATTCAGGGAAATATATGAAATACAGTTCAGAAATATCTTTGCCAAATTTTATCGAGATTAGTTCCGATTTGGATATAGCTCCCATATATATATCTTTATCCGATTTCAAATTAATTGTGCACCAAATGGGCAATACAAGTCCGAATTTAAAAAATACAAATGCTCCGGCATATTTAGTCCTTTGAACTTCAAATTATAATTATAATCATAGCGTGTGTGATTGAATTCTCCCATAAAAACTTATAATTGTTATGCGGAGCTCTACTAAATTAGCAAAGTGGTGTAGGGTATCATAAAGTCGGCCCCGCCCGACTTTAAGACTTTCTTTACTGGTTTTAAATTAAAAGCTTTGAAACTGATAGTGTGTGTCCGACTTTGAATATATTTTAGCATGCAAGGTGGACCTCAAAGCAATGGCGTTTTATACAAAAAATGAAGCAAAATATGAAAAACTAAAACTTACCTATACTCTGCGGCGCTATCAGATGTACAAAGCCCGCCGAGAACAATATCAGACAGACGGGCAATGAGACCCAGGCAAAATACTGGGCTATGGGCTGAGATGTTAGATCGCGATACAGCCAAACACGGGCTAATTTCAAAAAGACAAAAATTTAAAAATAACGATGAAAATCTAAATTAAATATTTTTTTTTGCAAAAAAACTCACCATTTGTACATATCGATATACCCTTGTCCATGATATACGACAGCAGGGCCATAATTATGCCCAGCAGGGCCAAAAACACCCAGTCTTCGCCTAGGCGGGCAAATGTGTGTTTCCATATCCATGATGAGACTTTAAATGCACGAGACTCACGTTTCCCTAGGAGTTCCTGTAAATATTTCCCAGGACTGCTGCTTTATAATCAATTTGTTTGGAATAGGTGTGTGGGTGATACTATTTTTTTGTTAATTTATAATGGGAAAGAGGGGATGGTTATTTTTAGATCTAAAGGAGTATGGCAGATAAGCACAGTGATTTGGGGGGGGTTTGTGTAAAAAAAATAAATTGTCTCTAGGAATTGATTACGTGTAAGGAACAGATTTTTAGGGTAAATGTATTAGGTTTTGATAGTGGACGAACATTGGTACCAAAAAGTTCTAAATATTGGGTTTTAGAGCAGAAATCCTGACATTTTGCATATAGGTCAGCATTGCTGCGAGGTATCAGATAAATTAAAGTTTTTTTCTGAAAAAGGGTCCCAAATTGTTCCAAAATGTACTGAAACGTACAATATTTAGTACATTTAGAGGCAGAATTCAGAAATTGAATGTTTATTGTTGTATTCTTTAAAAGTGGCATGTGGGTAGATGGACGAAGAGACGGAGTTTTTTAACTTCGTACTAAATGTACCAAACCTGAGTTTTTGAGCAAATATTTTACACTTTTGATGCAAAATTTAGCATGAAGGCCAGAATTGAAACAAGTTTTAAAAAAATAGTCTTGTTGGAAATACGTACCAAAAAATGTTGTACATAAATCTTTAAAGTCCTCTGATCGGTCACAATTGAAATGTGTTATTAGATGAACTGGTGTCTTTTGAAATTCGTACCAAAAATGGTACAAAAAAGTACCACAATCTGGGTTTCGAAGTCTGAATTGAGAAATTCGCACGTAGACCGCCATTATTGAGATACGTCAGGAACAATTTTAGTTTTTTGGAAATTGTGGACGATGAGTCCCATACTTTCGGAGCTAGATTTTAAATTTTGAAATGTAGGTCGCCATTGGTACGATTCATTGGACAAAATGCTGTTTTTAATGGTACTAGAAAGTACAAAAAACTGGATTTTAGAGCATTAAGACCATTGGTGCAAGACATTAGATAGGTATTACTTTTTGGAAATTCGTACTAAAATAGGTACTCAAGAGTACTTAATTGTGTAATGTAAGAGCTAAATTACTGAAGTTTGATATTTAGCTTTGTCCGACAGGAAAAACATTTCCTTCCGAAATCATATATTGTTAGCATTACACATTGTTGGGACTTTGGGACTTTTCATTGTAAGGGTACGAAACGTACTAGAAAGTACAAAATAGTACTGCTTTATTATTGAACGATCGATAACTTTGAAATTTGGAACGAGGATTTCGAAAAGTAAGCAGAATACAAACTCTATGCGGAATTGTGGAATCTTCGCACTTTAAGGGCACACAATAGTGCAACATTCTAATTAAGGGGACGAAAATTATTAAAAGGTACAAGAGTGTTATTTATTGAGTCAAGTCAATTTCTATATTAAAACAGGTAAAATAGTATCAGTCGGTTTTTCCGACAGATGTATACCCCCAGCCTTGAGTTATGATTATTCAAACTATTGGTCCTTTCTGTGGGAGGGCCGAAGCAATTGGCGAATATTGTCCAATTCTTAACGTGCCCTATTTGGACTTTATCGCCTACTTCCTATACTTTATATGACATATGTGCAAATTTTTGGAAAATGTGGAAATATTCCTAAGGACCGAAATATTCCACTTCATCTTATACGGATAAAAATATTCATATGTGAAAAAATTTAAGGAAACAAAACTTTTATATCAAATGTTTATAATCATAAATTCCGAGAAATTACATATTCATATCAGGGAAATATTTAGATATAACCAGTTGTATGACATGACAGAGGAGGAGGAGAGAGTGGACCGATACATTCCCTCTTCACAACAGTTCTTGTGTTAGTAGATATAACGCGATGTGTGAAATATGAAGGGAAACACATTCTTTTTTTTGACCCTTTGTGCGGGAGGTACCAGAAGAAATAGTCCTATCTCTGCCATCTTCATAACACATCCTGTGTTGATGGAAATATTGAGATGTGTCGAATCTGAATGGAATCGGATGTTAATTTAGCGTTTTATGAGCTTCAAGGATATTCAAAATTTTGATCATTAGTGGGGGGAGGTACCCGAAGAAGTTTACCGATATATTCCAACTTCACACCATACCATGGGTTTATAAAAATATTGTTATGTGTGTAATTTGAAGACAACCGGACTCTTACATCACATTTTATAAGAGTTATAATTATTTAAAATGTTAACCCTTTTTTGGGGAGATATTAGATGGAGTTGACCGATATTGTCCATTTTCGCACCTGACCTAGAACTGATGCAAATATTAGGAGTTGTAGCAAAATTGGATTATCCTTTCTCTTTCTGTGCAGTAATTTTTTTTTTTTTTTTGAAAACCTCCCAAGTTCCTCCCCCACAAAGGGTCGATATTTTGAATAATTTTAACTCTTACAAAATGTGCCGCAAGAGTCCGATTGTCTTCAAATTACACTTATCACAATATTTTTATTAACCCATAGTCTGGTGTGAAGATGGAAAATATCGGTTTACACCTTCTGGTACCTCTCTCACAAAGGGTCAACATTTTGAATAACCATGATGCTCATAAAACGCGAAGTTAATCGGTCGACTATATCTGGTGCTTCAGGCATATTTTAATATTTTCTAAAAGTTATCACATATCTCATATCGAGTGAGGAAAATAGTCGATATTGTCAAAATCTGGCACGTTGTAATGTTTACACCTAAGTCAGGTCAAATACGAAATGGAAATATTGGCTCACTTCTTCGGTATCCTCCGGGGTCAACATTTAAATAATTATAACGCAAGTAAAAATGTATTTTGATAAAAGGACATTGACGGAGGTTATTTATCTATCGGCAAAAGCGACTGATACTATTCCTAACTTGTTTTTCTTATTTCCTCACGGTGCGCTACTCTACACATTCGTCGTTTAACTGAGAGTTCCCGCTGACTCAAATAGAGAGTATTTTAAAATGTTTTTTTTTTTTAATATTGAATATAACAATAATATTTAAAAAAAATATTATTTTGGGAGTCCTATATATTTAAGTATTGAAATCCTAGAGGTAAATTTAGGAAGTCCTTCATTTTTAGAATTTTTGTTAAATATATATAAGTTTTAGAAATATTATTTTTATAGGTATTTAAAGCTTAAAAATGGTGGTCATTTTAAATATCTCTCTAGGATTTCAAAAATTCTCAACTAATTCTCGATTTATTTTCAATTAGTCTCCCAAATCACTGTGCTCTAGGCTACCAATAATGATCAATAGATTCAAAAGTATTATAAGAATGCTGACGTTTTGAACTCAAAAATAAACGATTGGGGAAACCACTTAACATTCTAAATGCCTTTAGATTAAACTAAATAAAAGAACATTTAATGAAAAGAAAAAACAGAAACAGCTACGCCATTAAATTTAATTTTCAATATCTTTTTTTCTTGATTTTTCTACTTTGTTTAGCATTTTTCCTTCTACGTCATCAAATTAAATTTTTTCTTTTTTCTTTCTAGTATTCTTTAGCATTTCTCTTTTTTTTCTTTGTTTCTACATGTTATGTGGTATGTTAATTAGTTGGTTTACCTTAAAAATGTGTTTCTCATATTGCAATTATTTGTTATTTTGTTTTTTTTTGTAGTATTTTGGTTAAAAGCATGTTTGACCATGCATTTATTTGTTGTTAGTTGCATGTCATTTTTTTGTTGTTTAACAGAAAAATTAATATTTTTAACATTAGCAATTTGTCGTTTTTTGTTTGTTTTCCTTTTCTCTTAATATTCCTTCATACACTTACCTTATTCCTCTGTTTGTCCTCCAACTTTCGTCGTTTTTGCAGCAATTTGAGTTTTCTGGCTTCATCTTTGGCAAATTCTCCTAAATCTTTGGTATAGCGGCCATACATCTAAGGGAGGAGAAAGAACAAAAGAAAAACATATTATTAATAAAGTTCTCAATGAAAGTTGAGTGGGATTTTTAGTCGTATGATTGATAATAATTAATTGATATTAGTTATACGCACCCATGTTTAGCAAATGAAACCGTTCATTTCATGATTTCCTTTAAAAAAACCTAAAATAATTGAATGTGGGAATCAAACAATTGGAAATTTTGTGAAGGGTCACAAAAAGGGCCACTTGAAACTGTATTGGTGTTGGGACACCTAATATAAAATGTCAACACCAGACTAAATAATAGAAAATTCAATTGGAAGGCGCAGAAGTCAGTTGAGTTCACTATTGAAACAAAGACTCATATATGATAACACTTATATCGCATTTAGTCCCCACTTGGTCGATAACAGTCGACTTCCTCCAGTTTTTACTAACCCTTTCGAAATTATTGCAGGACGGGGAGTCAAGTAGCAAAAAATAAGCTTTTGCAAAATGTACAAAAATATAAAAAAAATAAATTAAAAAATCAGCTAAGTTCGACCGGACCGAACTTTTTATACCCTCCGCCATTTGGAAGGAATTTAAAAAAATTTCTAAAAAATTCCGTTGAAAAATAAAGCTCAAAGAAAACCTTTTATATAGGGGCTGTACGAAAACGAGGTCCAGAATAAGTAAATTTTTGCCATAGGCTGTAGTAAAGATTCCGAATTTTGAATACGAAATTTTAAAGAATTCCGGTGAATAATGTCGTTATTATCATCACAATACCGAATAAAGGGAGGCAACTTTATATGTAGGCTAAGCATTGAGGTGAACCTGCAATTTTCCTTCATAGGTTGTAGTACCCATTGCGAACTTTAAATACGTCAAAATCATCAAAATACCGAATATCGGTAGGTATCGTTATATGGGGGCTATACGGCATCGTGGACCTATTGAGACAATTCTCTTCTAGGGTACTCACCAGGAACTCCTTGTGTGGATTTTTAGACAATTCCATTGAAAATGTGGCTGAAATGATCGAAATACCGAATATCAGGGGGTACTGTTATCTGCTAGCTATACGATATCATGGTCCGATATAGCCCATCTTCGAACTTGAACTGCCCGTAGACATAAGATAAATCTGTGCAAAATTTTAGCTTCTTATCTTCATTTGTTTTGACTCTGGCGTGATTAAAACAGAATTTTACCCTAATCAAGAAAATATATACTTTGTTGGGTCTAAAATTATTAATTCGGAATGACGAACTTAATATACCGTCCATACTATGTATAGTGGAGGGTATTTAAAAATCTCCTCTGCAAAGAAGTGGGGAGATAGGTCGAAATTTTATGTCATTTGTAGTGCAAGAGTATGAACATAACTAAAGGTACAAAGTTGAACTTTATAGGTTCGACAAAATAACATTTCAGGGGTTCGAAAAGTTCCAAAAGATACGAAATAGTACATCTTCGTTATTTAGCGATAGATACATGCTAGAACATTGAAGTTGTGGTCACATTTGGGTGATATTAGGCGGGATTTTTGAAAGTTTGCACTTTAAGGGTACAAAATGGTAGAACATTTTTATTGAGTAATCTTAAAGTACTAGAACTTGAAAATTCTGCATTGGGGTCACTCATGGGCGAGGCTGGGCAAGTTTTTTTGGAAATTCGTACTTTATGTTCAACAATGGTACGAAAAGACACAAAACGGTACTAAATCTATGTGTTTAAAGAGTAAAGTAATTGACTGCCTGCCTTAACGATAACGCTGGAATCTTGAAATTTTCGGAGAGGGTCACTTTTGGTTCGAAGGTGTCAGATAAGGATGGTTTTTTGGAAATCCCTACTAGAACGGTACGAAAAGTACTAAAAGTTACTAAATATGGTAAACTTTGTATTTGACGAACCAGTAGAGCTAGAACTCTTAAATTTAGTATGAGGGTTGCTGATGAAGTGTATGATGAATGTACAAAAGTACACTATTAGTGTACGAAAAGTACTAAAATGTACTATGTTTGGTACCATTTTCGCATAATGTGAACGTTTAGAGCTAAAAGCTTGAAATTTGGAATGGGAGAAGTAGAGTCGATGTAAGGAGGTAGTTTTGGAAATGTGTGCTCATGTATATGAAAAATACTAAATGATATTAAATTTGGTACATTTCGAATTTGGAGGAAAGGGAAGGAACAGGAATTCTGGAATTTGGTACAAATTCGATTTGATTGAACCGATAGAGCTAGAACTTTGGAAATAAGATTCCTTTTGCACTGTAGGACTGGGGAATGTAGATGGTTTTGGAAATTCGTACTTATGTGTACTATATGGTACTAAATTTGGTACAATTTTAAATTTTGGGAGAACAATGCTTCTGGATGATCTACCCTCCAATGTCGACAATTATCTTTATTTACGTGGCAATTAAGCCAAAAATGAGCTTCATCGTTGAACACAAAATGAAGTTTCTTAATAGAGCACGAACATTGAAACTGGTGTTGCAAAAAAAAAACCAGTAAGGAAAGCTCAAAAGTCGGGCGGGGCCGACTATATGATACCCCACACCACTATGCATATTTAGTAGAGCTCTCGTAAAAAGGTTTATACAGGGCATTTCAGAGCTCTATGAGATATTTGGTACAAAATCAAAATCTATCTAATTCTATCGTGCATTTTACGAACTATAGCTAACTCTGAACCGGGTTTCTCCAAATTTTACGTATTCTTCTTCTTCTAGACTGGTGATTTGGGCTGATATTGACCATTTTGTGCACATTTAACCCGAAATCGGATGAAGATATATATGAGAGCTATATCCAAATCTGAATCGATTTCGATAAAATTTAAAACAGCTATTCCTGTGCTCCATCTAATACCTGGTACCAAATATCACGGTTGTGGAGTGAATATTACGAATGTATGGGACTAAAATTCTAAATCGGATGAAACATATATATGGTTGCTATATTTATATCTGAACCGATTTTCACTAAATTTGATATACTTGCTTCTAGGCTGAATTTGGTCCGATGTACTAAAATTCAGTCCATTTGGTCTTATATCGGCCATTTGGTGCACAATTAACCTGAAATCGGATGAAGATATATATGGGAGCTATATCCAAATCTGAACCGATTTCGATAAAATTACAAACATCTATTTCTGGGCTGCATCTTATATCTGGTACCAAATATCATTCTTGTGGAGTGCATATTACGAATGTGAGAGGCTTAAACACCAAATCGGATGAAAGATATATATGGGAGCTATAGCTATATCTGAACCGATTTTCTCCAAATTTGATATACTTGCTTCTAGGCCGAACTCGGTTGGGTGTGCCAAAATTCAGGTAATTTGGACTGATAGTGGATATTTGGTGCACATTTAACCCGAAATCGGATGAAGATGTATATGGGAGCTATAGCTGTTTCTGAACCGATTTTCTCCAAATTTGTTGTATTTGCTTTAAGGCTAATCTCGGTCACATGTGCCAAAATTCGGGCCATTTGGGCTGATATTGGTCATTTGGTGGTCAATTAACCCGAAATCGGATGAAGATATATATGGGAGCTATATCCAAATCTGAACCGATTTCAATAAAATTTAAAACAGCTATTTCTGTGCTGCATCTAATACCTGGTACCAAATATCACGGTTGTGGAGTGCATAGTAGGAATATGAGGAACTTAAAGATCAAATCGGATGAAAGATATATATGGGAGCTATAGCTATATCTGAACCGATTTTCTCCAAATTTGATATACTTGCTTCTAGGCCGAACTCGGTTGGGTGTGCCAAAATTCAGGTAATTTGGACTGATAGTGGATATTTGGTGCACATTTAACCCGAAATCGGATGAAGATATATATGGGAGCTATATCTAAATTTGATCCGATTCTCACCAATTTCAATAGGGTTCGTCCTTGGGCCAAAAAAATATTGTTTGGAAAATTTCATCTCAATCGGATAATAAATGCGACCTGCATTTTGTTCACAAGAATACATGGACAGACGGACATGCATAAATCGACTCAGAAAGTGATTCTATGAAGGTTCTCAAAAGTAACTATGGGTCTATCTCGTTTCCTTCTCCATGTTACAAACAAATGCACAAAGACATAATACCCTTACCACTATGTGGTGTAGGGTATAAAAAAAATAAATAAATAAATAAATAAGCAAAAAAATATCTGAAAAATCTCCCTTTATAATCAAGATTCAAATTAAAGTCATCTAAGGCAATCCCTTTAAAAGTTAAATGTATTACCACAGACGAAGTGTAGAATATTTCCTCTCTTGACACCTTCCTGCTAAAATACAATTTTATTTTACTTTTCGGCGTCAAGTTCGAGAAAAAATTGTTCAAAATATAACAAGTATTTTCTGGTTTTTTGATGGACTTGCACATTGATGGAAATATTTTTTTTGATATACTGTGAAAATAGAGATTTATTTTCCTTAGTGACTTATAGTAAAATTTGATGAACAATATTTTTGCCCTAGAGGCGATCCTTCAAAAATGATGGTTTGTTGGAGATTTTTGCATAAACTCACAATAATTCTGTAGAATATTTTGACAGGCTACAAAGGAAGTTTTTAGCCATATTTCAAACAATGGATCAAAAGACCCTTTTGTTGACTCGTTTGAGGAATGAAATTTTCAAGCAAAATATTCCTCGTATTCTTATCTGCAATAGAGCCGAAGAAATTTTATTCCTAAAATGCACGGATTCCGAGGAATCTTAATCCGAAAATTTACAAAAGCCTGAAAAGGGGGAAGGAACTTGTCCTTTCAACAAAAGAATTATTTTACATCAGATTATACTGAACAAAAAAAACAAGTAAAAAGCTGTAAGTTCGGACGGGCCGAACTTTGAATATCCTCCACCATTTGGAATGAATTTGGCAATTCTCAAAAACAATAAAATCCGTTAAAAATTCTATTAAGATCTTAAAAATATCAATGTAGCGGTTATATTAGGGTCTATACGCAACGTGGACCTGCATAGGTAACATTTGTCACAAGCCA